TCTACTGAGCTGCCTTGCTGCCTCAAATATTAAAGACTCCTTATATGCCAGGTACTGTGGGGATACGAGTTCAAAGAATAAAAAGGTGGGATTACTTACATTCTAATGGGGAAGACAAGTATGTATGTCTGTGTGTGTGTGTGTGTGTGTATACACACATATACAGCATAAATATTAAGTGAATAAATATAAATGTATTCAAGGTATATTGGGAGGAGGGGTACTAGCATTTGGGGGAGGGGGAATCAGGCAAGGCTTCATGGGGTGGGGGTGGGGAGAAGATAGTGCCTGAGCTGTATCTTAAAGGAAGAGAAGGACTCAGATTGAGGTAAGGAAGGAGTGAATTCCAAACATGGGGCATGGCTATTGCAAAGGCAAAAAGGGGAGATGGGGAGTTCTATGTGAAAAACAGAGAGAAGGCCAATTTGGCTGCATCATAATGTACAAGAGGGGAGTAACATCTAAGGGAGATGGGAAGATGGGTTGGACCAGGCTGTGTAGGACTTTAAAAGGACTTCTTTAGAATCTAGTTTAACAATTTGTTACTGTCTCAAAAGTCACAATTTCCCAGACAGTGTGGGCCTGAAGCAAGGTCAGAGAGGAGAGGAACACAGCTAACATGCATGGGCCATAATTTCCTGCATCAGTCCCTTGTTTTCCCCATCCGTTTCTCAAGAGCTGAGAATTATGTCCTTTATTTATTTTCCCTTCTCCCAAAGTACCTAGCACAGTGCTCTGCATACACAAACAGTTAGGGATATGAGGGAAGGCTTCATGGTATCTGACGTGGTACCTGAACTAAACTTTTTTTTTTTTTGTGAGGCAATTGGGGTTAAGTGATTTGCCCAGGGTCACACTGCTAGTAAGCATCTGAAGCCAGATTTGAACTCAGGTCCTCCTGACTCCAAAGCCTAAGCTCTATCCACTGCACCACCTAGCTGCCCCCTGAACTGAACTTTGAAGGAAGATGAGAGTGCTTAGAGGTGGAGAAGGGCATACATTCCAGACCTGCTGAATGGCTTGTATAAACATCAGGAAATAGGAGATTGAACAAGATCTGGGAATGCCTAATGTAGCATTTTGATAGGAATGTGCTGTCTAGGAAAGGAAATAGGATGAAATAAGGTTTCAAAGGTATATGAGAGCCAGATTAAGGAGGGTCTTAAATGCCAGGCTAAGGATTTTGTATTTTATCTTATTGGTACTGAGGCACCACAGAAGGTTTTTGAGTAAGGAAGTAACACAGTTAGATTTGTGCCTTAAGAAGATTATTTTGGAGAATGGATTGGAAAAGGAGAAATTAGAAGCAGAGAATCCTATCAGACTATTTGATGGTCTAAGCAAGAGTTGGTAGAAGCCTAGGTCAGGAACTCTGTGAGTGGAGAGAAGGATATGATGAAGAGAGATACTATAGAATGAGAATTGACAGGATTTGGAAACTGTTCATATATGGGGGTGAGAGAGAAGAAAAAGAAATGACAAAATCAACATTCAATTTGAAGAAAAATTAAAGAGTCAAGAATTAGATTTAATTAGAACAATTAGAAGAAAACTCTGAGGTTATGAATATGTGTGCCTGAGAGGACATTGGAGCCCTTCAAAAGAAATAAGGAAATTTGGAGGAGGAGTATGTTGGGGGGTGGGGATGGTGATGGCGAATTCTGTTTTTGGGTATGCTGAATTTGAGATGCCTTATAGGACATCGAGGAGGAGATATCCAATGGACACTTGGTGATGCATGAGTAGAGTTCAGGAAGAAGGTTGGAAATCAATATAGAGATTTGGGACTTATCCAAGTAGAAATTATCTTTGAAATGAATGAATGAAAAACATTTATTAAGATCTTACTGTATGCCAAACACTGTGTTATGCTGCAGATCCAAATGCAGGGAAAAAAAAAGAGTCCCTTCCCTCCAAGACCTTACACTCTAATGGGGGAGACAACACATATGGGACAGTGGTGACCCAGCAAAAGGAGTTGTGGTCAGGGAAGTCCCAAATATAGTAAACAGAACAATTTGGTAGTCAGTTAACATACCCTTTTCAGAAGCAATAATAATGTCGATATGATAATGGTTTTCAGAGCATGAGGTGGGAAAATGAGGTATAATGACAGAGCAGAAAATAGCAGGGGTCAAGAGGAGGCTGCATTGTCCCAGACAGTGACAAAATGAGTGGTCTAGTTCCTCCCAGGCATGGTTTCTGGTGATCCATCTTAGAAAGTGGAGTAACAGTAGCAAAAGGGGCAGCTGGGTGGAAAATCTGATGAGATCTCTTTGTGAGGAGGGAAAAATATAGGGTCCAGAATAGAGTTGTCATTGATGCCCATACTAAGGTCATAGAAAATGGATGATAATACTCTACATCAAAGGAGGCTGAGAAAGAGTGTTCAGTTTCATAGGAGAACCAGATGCCAAGGGAGGAGTAAATGCCCAGATGGAGGGAATGGTCACCAGTATCAAAAGCTGCAGAGAGAGCAAGGAGGATGAGGACTAAGGGAAAAAATGAATGGATTAGTGAGTGCCTTTGGTGGCCCACTATATCCAAGCAAGTTCTAGTTATGACTCACTTGACTTCCTGGGCATCTTCTCCCCTGAGCCTTGCCACCTGTGTGCCCTTTCGTCCATGGCATTTGCTGGCTAAATCACTTTCTAGGCTTTTTTTTCACTTCTTTGACATGGTGACTGCTTTATTACAGTCAAACTTTTGCTAGAAATGATGATGATCAAGGTCATTATCTGCCTTTTACATTCTCATTTTTCAGCATCAATGACTTATTTGAATAGATCATGTTGAAGCTGTTGCAATTACACAGTGTTTTCTTGTCATCTTTAGTTTTTCTTCTAATTGGATGCTGATTTTGCCATTTGTTTTCATTCAGCAATGATGTGACTGCACACAGATTCTCATATGACTTCCATATCAGTAATCATTTATAGTATCTTAGTAAGATCACTTTCATTTTTTTTTTGTGCCGTTCATCAGTGCTTACCAACTCTAGTGCCTTTATAGCCATTTTTAATTTAGTCCTAATATGTAAGTGTACCTATAGGAAACTAGGTCTGTATCTCTTTAAGAAAAAAGTTTCTTCTTCTTCTCTTTACATGACCTACTACTTTTCCTAGAACATTACTAGACTTAGATCAAGAATATGTAGCCTCACTTTATAGACAAGAAAACTGAGGCACATAAGGGTTAAGTAACTTATCTAACTTCCAACTCTATTCTGGAATGTGATCATAATACATAAAGGTGAGACTTCTTAGTAGTCTATAAGATATCTACCTCTTTCATTTCTCCAATGTGAGCCACATTTTCTAACATACTTATCATCCTCCTCCTCTGAACTCACCCTTGCACTGATGTCACCAGGTATTAACATATATTAATTTGGTTTGAAGAAGTCTATCAAGTTATTTGTATAATTTCCCTACCTCTTCATCCCTTGCAATGTAGTTTGGTACATAAATTGTAGTTCTCTTCTTCTTTTGTTGGGTATATATATATATATATATATATATATATATATTTCCCCATTACATGTTAAAACAATTTTTAACATTTGGATTTTTAAGTTTTGAGTTTCAAATTCTATCCCTCCCTCCCTCCCCTCCCAATACAGTAAGTAATCAGATATAGGTTATACATGTGCGGTCATGTGAAACGTTTCCTTATTAGTCATTTTGTTCAAGAAGACTCTAATAAAAGAAAAAGGATGAAAGGAAGAAAGTGAAAATAGCACATCTGTATTCAAACAAAATTAGTTTTTTCTCTAGAGGCAGATAGTATGCTTCATATTGCTGAGAAAAGCCAAGTCATTCACAGTTCATTGAACAATATTACTGTTACTATGCTGGTACTGTTCATTTCATTTTGCATCAGTTCATGTAAATCTTTCCAGGTTTTTCTTTAATCATCCTGCTTGTCATTTCTTATAGCACAATAACATTCTTGATGGTCTTATTGATTATATTCATCATCAGCAATGCAAGACAAGGAGCTAAAGGATCTCATGAAATGGTGTGTTTTATTGGGTACATGATGAAACCAGCACCACCGATCACTTTGTTTCTCTAAGAGACCTCTGAACTATCCTAAAATTGCTGGAACTTTTTGCCTTCCAGTGTTGAATATTTCTGATGTTGAATATGTATGTTTTATATTCACAATGTTGAGTCATGGTGTTGAATATTCATGTGATTCAGTTTTTCTAATAATTTCTAAATTTATTGGCCCTTAGTTAAAGATCTCATATTTAAAGTAGCAGCAGTTATGTTAATGTTGTGATTTCATTGGTGTAGGGAATTTCCAGATAAGGAAATTCCCTCTTTACCAATGCAGGTTAGCACCTTCTCTGTAACTTTTAATATTAGAAAATTGCCCAGATAGTCAAGATATTACAATACTTGCCCAGGGTCACACAGTCAGTGTGTGTCAGATGTATTAAGGTATGCTGCTTCTACAAGTTAAAGTTTATAGATGGTCTAAAATCTGTTATTTGTAACATCCTCAGGTGCTTTTCCTAGCATTCTAACACTATTACTACAGAAGTAGAACAAGGTGGGGGGAGGCACATAGAGCAGAGAACCATTTTTTTTTCTTCTTTTCATGGATTACCGTGGCCAAAGAACTCAAAATCTCATGGTTGAGTCATGAACCTTTCCATGCTTGGGTTGGTCCTCAGTAGAATCAGTCTTATACAAAGAGATCAGTTTTGATTTTATGTCAGGAAAAACTTCCCAATAAGTAGAATTGAGTGAAAGTCAGGTGGGCTGGCTCAGGAGGTGGTGGGTCCCCCCTCTTTGGAGCACTTTAAGCAGAGACTGGAAAACCACTTATTGGATATAACATGGTAGGGATCTCCTTTGTGTGTGGGTTAGACTAGAGTACCACTCAAGTCCTTTCCAACACTCTAGTTCTGTGATTCTGTGAAGGAGGCTGATAAATTACTCTATTCTGTGTTCATAGCCTTCTCTCTTCTCCCCTCCCAACCTTTATAGCCTGTCTGCTCCAAGCTGAACTGGTGAATTATGAGCGAGTGAAGGAGTATTGTCTCAAAGTTCTGAAGAAAGAAGGGGAAAATTTCAAAGCCCTCTACCGGTCAGGCGTGGCTTTCTACCACTTGGGGGACTACGACAAGGCCCTCTACTACCTGAAAGAAGCTAGGTCCCGGCAACCAACAGGTAAGGCAGTAGCAACTTGTTTCTTATTGGCTAGCCATAGCAGATTTTTCTGGATTCTTCTTCCATAAGGTGGCCTGTTTTCAGGACTAGATAATGGAATGATAACAAGGACTAGGTTGTACCTTTGGAACTTTATGGTATGTATATTTATAAAGGGTGGATAGAAGTTTGGGTGCTATATTAGGGATAGAGAAAGCAACTATTTAGCCCTTAAAGAGGGTCCAGTGTTCCATATCCACTGTACACCCCTCCCAACACAGCAGACCAACACGTCAGCATCCTTGACCCTTAACTAGGGTAAGTTTCTGAAAAATGAGAGGTAACCCCCCCCATTATTAATTAAAATAATTCTAGAAAAGCTAACTATAGCAAGAAGAGTAGAGAATAAAATCAAAGATATAAACATCATCAAAGAGGAGACAAAGCTATCTCTATTTGCAGATGACATGATAGTAGATTTGGAAAATCCCAGAGAATCAGTGAAGAAACCTAATTGAGATGATTTGTAATGTCAGCAAGATGGCAGCATACAAAATAACCCCACAAAAACATCATCTTCATTTCTATAGCACAATAACAAAATTTAGTAGATAAGGACAAAGGACACAAAATGTCAGGGAAACAACCATTAAGAAGCACCCAAGATTGCTATACATACAAACTCAAAATACTCTTTACAGAAATAACAGGAGACTTAAATAATTGGGGAGAGACAATAATAGCTAGCATTTATATAATGACACTCGCTGCTTATGAATGGGCTTTGTCAATGTAATTACAATGACAATTTGTTCACTCATTTTCAGTCATGTCTGACTATTTGTGACCCCATTCGGAGGCACAGATACAAGAGTGGTTTGCCATTTCCTTCTCTAGCTCATTCTATACACGAGAAAACTGAGCCAGGAAAACCTGAGTTCAAAGTGATGATACTAATTAATTATTTTATAGATTTAGTGCCATACCAATCAAATTATTGAAGTGATAATTTTTAGAACTAGGGGAAAAAATAACAGAATTCATTTAGAAGAGCAAAAGATCTAGAATGCCAAAGGAAATAAGAAAAAGAAATATGAAGTAAAGGAATATAGCATTACCAGACCTCAAACTATATTATAAAGCAGTAGTCATCAAAATTATTTGATAAAGATTTTTAAAATATATAAATAAATAATAGGAACAAACTAGATAAGCAAGAGATAGCAGCAATTAAAAAGAGTTTTATTGGATAAATCCAAGAACATGAATTCCTGGAAAGATTCTCTTTTTGACTGTAACTGCTGGGAAAAATGGAAAGCCATTTGGCAGAAATTAGGTTTAGACCAAAAGCTTGTGCCATATACCACAGTAAACCCAATCTGATACATATCCTGCATATAAAAGGTCATATCATTTTAAAAAATCAGAAGAGAACAAGATCAACTATGGCAAGGGTAAGAATTCTTAGTCAAACAAGTAATAGAGGTATTCATAAAAAACAAAATAGATAAATTTTAAAAATTTTGAATAAATAAAATCAATGAATCTGTAAGTAAAAGAGCCAGTGGTAGAATGAGTAAAAATTTCATCAAATATAACCAATATAGGATTAACATATAAATATCACACAAAATTATGCCATTTACAAATAGCTAAGTGGCCAAAGGCTATCAACAGTTTTCAAAATAAGAGTTGCAAACTATAAATGAGAAAAATATATGCTCCAAATGACTAATAGTCTAATTAATGCCAATGAAAACAACTCCAATTTCATTATACAAATTGGCAGAGAAGAAAAAAGATAGAAACAGTCAGTGCTGGGGAGGATATGAAGATGTAAGCGCACTGATTCACAGTTGATGGAGCTGTGAAGTAGTCTGCTTGTTCTTGATTTCAGTTTGGAATTGTGCAAGAAAAGTGACTAAGCAGCCCATACCACTTAACCCAAGAATCCCACTCCTGAGCATATACCTCAAGGAAGCTAAAGGCAAAAAAAAAGGTCCAGTGGATACCAAAATATGCATAGTTGTACTCTGGTAGCAAAGAATTGGAGACAAAGTGGGTACCCATAATTTGGAGAATGACTAGAAAATAACATGTAATGAACGTATGAATGTCCTAGAATAATATATGCAGTAAGAAATGAAGACAAATGTGTGAATGCAATAAAATAATATTATGTAGTAAGAAATGGGGACAAAGAATTCAGAGAAAAGTGGGAAGATTTGTATGACTTGATGTGGAGCAGACAAATAGACAACAATGACTATTATAGCAAATAGGAAATTGGACTCTGAGTAATGAAAAAGTCCAAATGAAGAGAATGGAGAAGTGATAATGAAGGATACTTCTCTCTTACAATAGGGAGGTGGAAGAGAATATTTTCTAAATATTTTATATTTTTATTTTAAATATATTTTATTTAGTTAAATTAAGTTAAATATTTAAATATATGTATATGTTTTATATACACATATTTTAAAATATTATAATAATTTATAAAATTATCAGACATGGTCTCTGATTCAGATGTTTTACTTTGCTGTTTTTCTTTATCACAAAGAAAGGTTCCTTCTGAAGTGAGGGGTGAAATGACTGTGATTTTAAAATGAAAGGCATCAATAAAACATTTTAAAAAAAAGAATAAAGAGAGGTGGGACAGAATGAAGATGGGTGACTTAGGATCAGAATTAGCTCTAAGAGATCTAGAGGGAACAGAATTTGGCTAAGTCAGTATTTACATAAGATGAAAATCCCATCATACCGGTCCTGCTGGTCCTTCAAACCTGCTGTGAATTAGTAAACTACATGACAGAGGCCAACACTGTGGCTAAGAGGAATAGTATCAACATGGTTGGGTTGGGTGGTGGTCAGTAATCAGTAACTGTGGCAAGGGCTGTGACAAAGGAATGAAAGGGAAGAGAAGTTAAAGAGACAAATGTGTCCATTTCACAGTCACTACAACTGGGATCCCTAATTAATTGTACATAGACCTGCATAGTCAATAAAGCTGTCATGGTCCCTGCCCTCTGTGAGTTTATATTTAAAGACAATTATACAGAACAATCCAAACAGACCCAGCCCAAAAAAGAAAATGTCAACATGACAAGCAGATAGGTCACAGATGTGGGAGGCAAGAAAAGAGAACATCGTGAACCCAGAACAGGGCTGACTCATAGCCTTCTTTCCTTGTCTTATAGGTGAGAAGGGGGCCCTGAAAAAGGAGGCTAGGAAAATGTACACACCAGTGTTATTTAGGATACCAATTAACTGGAGGCAAAATGTGTACCTAACAATTGGAGAATGGCTGAATCAATCAATCAGTCAACATTTAATAGGTACCAGTTTTGTGCTAGACACTATGCTAAGTGCTGGCCTCAAATAGATTATGATCTAGTGGGAAAGACAACATGTAAGCAAATATGTACAAAGCAAGCTATATTCGGTATAAATAGGAAATAATTAAAAGAGGAAAGCACTGGAATTAAGAGGGATCAGGGAAAGCTTCTTGTAGAAGGTGGAATTTTAGTTGGGACTTAAAGAAAACCAAGGAAGTCAGTCATCAGAGTGAGGGAGAGAGAGCATTCCAGGCATGGGGAACAGCCAGAGAGAATATGCCCAGAGCTGAGAGATGGGGTGTCGTTTGTGAAACAGCCACCTAGTCAAAGAGTTGTTGTGTCCAACTCTTCATGGCTCCATTTGGGGTTTTCTTGGGAAAGATACAGGAGTGGTTTGCCATTTCCTTCTCCAGCTTATTTTACAGATGAGGAAACTGAGGAAAGCAGGGTTAAATGACTTGCCCAGAGCCACACAGCTAGTAAATGTTTGAGGCCAGATTTGAAGTCAGGTCTTTCTGACTTCATGGCCAGCACTCTATCCACTGCACCACCTAGCTGCCCTAGAACAAAGAGTGTGTGTTGGGGAATAAGGTATAAGAAGACTGGAAAAGTAGGAGGGAGTTAGGGTAGAAATGGTTTTGAATCCCAAACAAAGCATTTTGTATTTGTTCTATTGCCTAGAGGCAATAGAAAGTTACTGAAGTTTATTGAGTGTGTGTGTGTGTGTGTGTGTGTGTGTGTGTATGTGTGTGTGTGTGCATGTGATATGATCAGACCTTCATTTTAGGAAAATCATCTTAGCAGCTGAGTGGAGAATGGATTAAAGAAGGGAGAAATTTGAGGCAAGCAGACCCATCAGCAGGCTATTGAAGTAATCAAGGCATGAGGTGCTGAGGACCTGCACTACAGTCGTGGCACTGTCAGAGGAGAGAAAGAGTTGTGTTCAGATGTTGCAGAAGTGAAATCAACAAACCTTGGCAACAGCTTAGATATGGGGGATGAGAGGTAATGAGGAATCCAGGCTGACTAGGTTGGAGGATTTGGAAGGATGGTGTTATTCTCTACAGTAACAGGGAAGGTAAGAGGGGGGAAAAGCTTAAGGGGGGAAATAATGTTTCATTTTGGACAGATTGAGTTTAAGATGTCTAGTGGACATCTACTTTAAGATGTCTGAAAGGTAGTTGGAGATGCAAGACTGGAGATCAGAAGAGAGATAGGGCCAGGAAAGCAGATTTGAGAATCATTAGCATAGAGATGGTAATTAAATCCATGGGAGTTGATGAGATCACCAAGTGAAGTAGTATAGAGAGAAAAGAGAAGAGGGCCCAGGACAGAACCCTGAGGGACACTACAGTTAGAGGTCATGATCCGAAGGAGGATCCAGGAAGGAAGACTGAGAAGTGGTCAAATAGGATGGAGGAGAACCAGGAGAGAGTAGTGTCTCAAAAACCTAGAAAGAAAAAGAGTGCCAAGGAGGAGTGATCCCAGGCTGAAACTTGTCTGAGAGTATTCAGCCATAGGATAAGAGAGCTAGAGATACAAGAAAGGGGAACAATGAAGAATTGAATTGGTTTACCAAGGAGTCAAGATGCGGAGAAGAGGAGAGAGTGGCTAGTAGGTAGGAGGTAGTCTAGGAGAGAACTGAGGACTCAAGGGATTGGAGGTCACAGTGTGAAGAAAGAG